AGTCAAATAAGGATAAGATTTCTTTGCAAATAAATCTGCTCCATTCTGGGGAGAAGTAAAAAAAACACATGAACTAGAGATTAAATGTTAGACTTACTTTAGTTAACGACAATGTTGAAAACTAACCAAAAGTCTCTGACAGAGCTTAACATTAGACAGGACTATTTTACATAAAAGGAAATTTGTTCTTAAGAGAGATGTTCTTGTAAAAAAGATGAAAAAAAATCATTATTGTTTTATAAGCAACTGCTCAAGATGGTGGAAAATGTAGAGTATAATGAGGCTTGAATTAAAATTGAAGAGAAGTAACAAAAGCTTCCAAACATTCATTTCAGAAAAGCTAAAAGTTTTCTAGATATTTCCGTACATATTATGGATATAAACATATCTGATTACTATTTATATAGATGCAGGCATACAATATCCTTTTATTGTTATATAAACTTTAGCATTTATGAAATAGTATTTGTAAAAAGTAAAAAAAAAATCAGATGAATGTGTGGTGTGACTAAACAGATGGATGAGTGGTATGACAAAAAAAAGAAGGCATAATCTTAGACAGATTCAACAAAACATTGTATTGAACAATGTTAAACAAAGATAAAGTAACTTAAGCATCAGCATATAGAGATGTAGCAGCTTCAGTAGAAAATGGTAGTGGTAGTAGGAAAACTTAAAGAGACTGCCTTACATATTGTATGAATGAGCTTTAGTTAAGAAAAAAAAATGCAGGGATGCATTCAAACAATGGGTAGTTGATGGAAAACCTAAACATGTAATTATCTTTGAAAGAATGAAAAAAACTCAAACAGTATTTAAACTTGCATATCAATAATAAGAATATCAATAATGTTAAGGCAACCAATCATATTGCTAGTATTGGCAGAGTTAGTGGTGACAAGGACATTGCCACTATATAGAAGAAACATTTTCAAACAATATATAACTCACTTAATGATAACCAGCATAGAATACAGGTTGAACAGAAAGTGCATTCTTCATTACTGGACATACCTGTTAGAGTTACTATTATAGATGTAACTAATCCTTTGTATAAGCAAAAAAAGAGAAAATCTGCTGGACCAGATGATTCGTTTATGGAATCATTTATATATGGAGGACATAGACTGTCTCTTTATCTAGGTATTTTTTCTAATTAATTCTGAGTAATTGCAATCTCTCCCGCTTGCTCTAAAATATTTGAAAGTGTTTGATTAGAAAGAATCATATCTCATGAGAATGCTGATGATTTTCAGTTTGGTTTTAAGAAAAGTCATTCCACAATGTCTTGTACATATTGTTTAAAAAAGACAGTTGAATACTTTATTTCTAGAGGAAGCCATGTATATGCATTCTTTATAATTTTTATACCATTAATTATTGGAAACTGTTTTTTAAATTTATTGATCAGGGTATTGTCCTAAATATTGCCTATCTACTTGCATTTTGGTACAAGAATCAAACTATGTTTGTCAGATGGCAGGAAGTAAACTCTGACAGCTTTAACATAAGCAATTGTGTACAGCAAGGTGGAAATCTTTCACTGTTCTTGTTCATATTTTATATAAGAATACTGATTTTCAATACTACGAATATGCATATTGGAGATTACATAGGTAAAATTTGAATCTTTTGGCATATGCCGACGATATTGTATTGAGTGTTTCATCTTAGTTTGCTTTGCAAAATTATTAACTGCATTGAATGTTGAAGCCACTGCCATTAACATGCCATTTATTATAACAAAAAAAACGATGTGCATGGTATTTAAACCAAAACAGAGATGTAAGAATGTGTCAAGCAACTTTGCACTGTTTACTTTAGCTGGATGTGAATTAGTTTCATTGACAAATTCAAGTATCTGGGTCACATAATAGAAAATGGTTTGTTTGATAATGCTGATATAAATCGAGAAATGAAATGTCTTCAAACGGGTACAAACATTAATTAGAATATTCAAGAAATGCTTGATTAAGGTAAAAGTGCAACAATATATGACCTACTGCCTCTGTTTTTGTGGCTCTATGGATTAATTTTAGTGCAAATACTATGTTAAAGCCAGACTCTTGTTACAAGAAATGCGCTAAAATGTTTTATGGATATGACAAGTACTCAAGCGCTAAAAGCATTGAAAATGAATTATTATATAATCATTATTTTGTTACTTTCACAACTACCATTATCATATTTCCATTATTAATATAAAGGATAAATATTTACTGAAATAAATTTTGCACTCAACTCAGCTGCAAACAATTTTAGTCATAATATATTTGTTAGACCGATAGCTTTTTAACTATTTTCATTATTTTATCTTCACATCTTCTATAATTAAAAACACGTACTAGCAGCTTAGAAAAACCCACTGGTGAGCTCCAAAAAATGTAATCAATCTTATCAATTTTAAATATTATGTTAAATAAAGTTCAGCCAAAAAGAGATTTACTTTTTAATTGAAAATTTTATTAACTTTTATGTCTTTATAACTGAATTTTATTAAGACCTCGAAGGTCACACACACAGATAATAATGTTACAAAGAAAAAATAATAATTAAAGAATTATTTCAAAAATTATTTAATCAAAAAAAACAACTGGTTTATATCTTTTATATTCATTAGCTCTACACCAGCTAAAGGGTTTAAAAAAGTATAAACTTACATAAAGTTTAAATTATAATGTGATAAATATATATAGTATAAATACATATATGGTAATTCTGTACAAAAAATAAGAAACTGGTTTTATGAATCAAACACTGAGAAGATCAATAGTGAAAAAAGAAGGAATTGCAGAGTTTTGTAAAAAACAAACAGCAATATTAACAAATGACAAAGAAGATTGTTATTGGCAGTAAAAAAAACAAGTTTGATCAATAAGTTTAAGGTAATGAGATCTTAAAGCAGAAGATTTTACTTTAAGACAAAGAAAAAGAAGAAAAATAAGATAAATAAAAATACAAGCAAGACATAAAAAAAACAGCTGTAGCTATGTCATAATGATATTAGAGATATAGGTTTTATTAAACAGAATGAGGTGCTACTTTTGTAATTACAAATATTTCAATAGATTGACACAAAGAAATTCAAGTTAATTTACACAAAAGTATTCAAGTTAATAAATGTGATAAATGACTTTTGTAATTACAAATATTTCAATAGATTGACACAAAGAAGTTCAAGTTAATTTACACAAAAACATTCAAGTTAATAAATGGGATAATAGTGATAACTCGAAAAGTATAGTATTAAATAGAGCTTTAATTATGATTGTGAATTTGATAATTGTCTAAAAATTGTTTACTTTAATTTTTTAGACAAAATTGATTATTTTTTTGAAAAATATATAAATTAGGTATATATAAATAAATAAAATTTGAAAATTTATTTACATCAAAAGTAATTAAAAATATAAATTAAAATAAATTTTACTGTTTAGGCTAACTTTTTTTTACTTTTTAACTTTTTTCAGTTATGAAATGTAAAATCTGTATAAAAAAAGCTTTTTATTTTTATTAAAAAAAAAAAAAGTGAAATAAACGATTTATTCATGCTTTACTTTATGCTACATACTCTGCGATTTACAAATTATTCAAATACTTTTATTTGGAATTAGCATGATTATATCAGCGTATTATGTCCAAACAAAAGATTTACATGGTATAATTTTTTTTGCTTCAAGTTTTTATAATATTTAATGAAACATTTCTTTTTTATATATAATTTTCAAAACCTTTTTACTACCCGTAATAGTGAATCTAAAGAACACTTTGGATTCTTTAGATTAATTTCGCTCATCAGCATTAACATAAATTTAGTTCAAATTTTTAAAAAAAAGTTCCTTAATTTACTACTGATCCTAGTTCTAATTGGTTCAGACGTATATTAACTATATATAGTTGTCAAAACACAATATTTTTATCAATTTTTACAAAAAATTCTGGAATTCTGACCAAGAAATAGCTTATATTTATGGAAAATTGCCAATAAACCAACAGAACAGATCATATTGTTAAATTATAATGTTCATTTCACCTAAAAAACGTATTAATTTAAAATCTTATTAAACTTTGAATGAGCGATTGTGATTTTAAGATAATTTAAAAAAAAAATCTTCGGTCTGGGTTTTTTCCCTACAAACATTTATATTTAAAGACCGCAAAATTTATCATTTTAATTTTTTTCGTCTTTCATTAATTCACAGACCTGACTATTTAAAGGAAATATTTCATAGTCAACAAATTATTGTACAGATGCTATAATATTTTAAAAGTGACTTAACTACATAAAGTACTTCAATGGATATATTTTATGAAAGAATATACATACATAAAGATTTGTGTCAAGCAACTTGTGCAGAAAAAAAGAACATTGACATATTTATTTAAAATTTCCAAAAACAGTTGCTAAATATTGTTAAACACACCAAATAAAAAAAAAAGTAGATGTAGAGAATGAAAGATATAAAATAGCAAATAATCAAAAAAAAAAAATAAAATAGCTTAAAAGAAAATAATATAAAAAATATTATGATAAAAATATTTTGATATCTATATCTTTTCTCTTTAAAAAAATAATGACATGAAACAAAATTTATTCTTTGTACATATGTATATTTATCAAAAATGCACCAATGTTTTATAACAAACTATTTACTTACCCAAAATAGAAACCGAAAGTGAAGATTCCTCTTTTGATTGTTTAGAAGGATTCAAGTTAACAAGAAACTTTAATAAAATATTTTTTTTTTATTGCCTAATCCACAAATCATTGATAAACAACTCTTCAGCTTTTTATTGGCCATAATCTCTTCAATTCTTAAACAATTGTATGCATACACAGATGCACAAAACTCCATCACTGTCAAATGTGCGAATTGGTAAAAATAACCAAGATGTGTTTCAACCCTTTCAATAAAACCAAAAAAACTTTCATCAACTTCATTAAATTTATTGATAAATAGTAAAACTTCTTCTTTTGAAAACACAAATTTGTTTTCAATAAACAATTCAAAAGCTATCCTACAAACAGTTAATACATATTTCTTATTATTTTCATTTGCCATCATTTCATAAACTGATCCATTGTTTTTGATAATGTGTTTTTGCAAAAAAAATTAAAAAAATATTTGCATGCAATTCTGTCATCGTCAAGAAAGAAGTTGTATATATTTTGCTTGAATCACTAATAATTTTACACATGAAAGATAAATAAAATGGAACAGTTGCCATAACTTTTGCAATTGGAGACTCCTTTAAAGTTGCTTTAACAACTTCTTTTTTTTCTTCTATAACATGATTTTCTACATAATTTTCAACTCCATTTTGGTTAAACCCCATTATTTGAATGGTTAACTTATCAATATGCTCTGGATATATATTTTGATATTTATCAATTGCATAAACTCTACCTGCAACTACATGTTTATAACTTTGAATTTCTGCTAAAGCATTAACAATCGGAAAGGTACAACTTAAATTTGGATTTAATAATTCATTTAAATATTTAAATTCATCTAATCCATCAATAATAAACAATGTAGTATGCTTACTAATATCAAAATCATTTAAAATATGTTTATAGAAAACATTTAGTAATTCATTAATATTCGAAACATTTTGATATTGATTAAGCCTCCTGCATTCCAAATAAAACACAAGTTCAACATTATTCCAAATTAAATTATTCGACCAATCGAGCAAACACTTTCTGAGCAACCATGTTTTTCCAATACCAGCTATTCCAGATATTAATATTACTGATTTTTCGTTCATAAATACTTCACTATATGGAATTGGTGTATAACTCATTTGCTTTTTAAAAAACTGCTTTTGTTCATTACTACAAACAACATCAATTTGAGCATTATATGCATCAACAATACATAGATCAACAAATTTTTGTATTAGATCAACACTAGCAGGTGTTTTTAATAGTGGTCGAAGTTCATTTATTTTGCCATAATATTTCAGATAATAATTTTTTAGTGCTGTGCATACCTCTGATATATCTAAACATCAATTTTCATCATCATTATCACCATCATCATCATCATCATCATCAGTATATGGTTCTCTGTTCGTTATTGCAACAAGGTCATCGGCTCACAGGATTTTAGATTATTGCCGTGCCGCTCAGTATTTTTTAAATTTTTTTTCAGTATTACCAATAAGAAAGATCTAAACTTTTTAGATATGTTATTTTTGAAAAAAAATTTTGAGCAAAAACTTTAAATATAAGAACCGTTATAAAAAATGCGTTGCATTACCGAATGCATCGAAAAAGAGGGTTTATGCATGGGGATCATAAAAATGACATTCGGGTATGTTTTTTTTATTCATTTTCTTCAAATCAAGCTATAAACTAAAGAAATCCACATTTAAAAATTTTGACAATCAATTAAAACAGGGGAAATTTTTTATTACAGAATATAAAACTATATATTGAACGTTTATGTAAATAAATTTTAAATAAATAAATGAAGCTTTTAATACAACGTAGTTATAATTAACAAATGCGCTCATTTTGAATACACAAATAACACTATTTTTGATTATTTTAAAATAAAAACTTTACAACAATCTTCTGACATCTTTCTTTAAATCAAAGTAATAAATTTTTCAAGTATTTTTAAACTAATTTTGACTTTATGAAAAAAATATATACAGCAAATTGTTGTTTTAAACAATCTTCCCAGCAAAAATTTTACAGCGGAATTTTAGTAGACTTTTATTGGCATTTTAAGAGTTTCCCGCTTTTTTTCCACTGTAAAAAGGCTCATTGGTTACATAGTGGACCACAATTGGCAGTCGCCATAATGGCTAGCCAACAACTAGCTTTTATATTACATGTTGAAGAGTTATTGGCTAGCCACTTTTAGCGAATCCCTTAAGAAACCTATGAGCAAAACTCTAATTAACTGCTCAAAATGCTTATATAGGTCCATTGCAAATCCACATTAAAATAATTGCTGGGTTAATAAAAATATAATTGGTTATCATTTTTACAGATTTTTATAAAAACACAGTTATTCATAGTTAGTTCATATATAAAAGTTTAAAAGTGTTTCATTAATTAAGTTCATAGCCTCAACCAGAGAGACTGATACTATCCTATTTAGTAAAATAGTGGGTTTTGATCACTGTTTTATTACTTTTTATAAAAAAATTGTATATACCAATTGAAAAAAAAATCATAATTTTTATCATTAAGTACATATCTTATTTAAGTTAATTGATCATAAGTTTGAGAATCATAGTTTTTTGCATAGATGCTTTAAATGCAAAGGAAAATTACCATTTTAATGTGGTCTTGTCGACGACACCCTCTAACACAAATTTTTGAAAACTTTACTTTGCAGCAACTTTATTGATTATCACTAAATTTTAAAAAATCCTGATGACATTTTGTTATTGCAAAATTTAAATAAATTAAACAGAAGAGAATGGACACTAGATTTTGTAAGGTACAAACTTATAAAGGAGTAAACACACCATTACATCAAAAAAAAAAGTTAACTTAATCTTTGATCAATTCGATGCAGAACTTCTTAGTCTAGCAAAAAGAAACAATTTTAACAATTTGTATGCTATAAAAAAAGTTGTTTAGGCGGTTTAGTTTCGTTGTACAGATTTTGACGACAAGGAATGTCAACACCGTATTTTCCCAAGAGAAACTGAGAATTAGTGCAAATATCATTTATATCGCTTCAGCCTTCAACATTTTGAAACCAACTGTTACTGATTTATCTTCAGATGATTTAGTAAAACACCAACGAGACACTGAACCAGATTATTTGGAGACGCTGCCCAAAACGTAATTTTGTGAGTAGAGGGGTCATTGAGTCTGCAGTTAATTCGTCTGAGATTGAATTTTATGAAGGTCCTAATGGAATTTTATTTGTACTTAATAAACTTTAACTACCAGGATATGTAACGTCTTTGAAACTTAATGATAAAAATAAAGAAGCTATCAAACGGTCTTTTCAAAAGTCCACTGAACGTGTTAAAAAGAGAGAAAAATAGCTAAAAACAATTAAAAAGGCTTAGTTAGATAAAGATGATAAAGAAAGACTTAGTTAGACAAAGGTCATAAAAAAATTGATAAAGAAAAAACTCAAAATATATTTCTGGAAGGTTTTAATATGTTTATATGAACTTTTTATTATGGTTTTATTCTTTTGTTTTATATATTATTAGTAGTTAAAGATTTTAAAAAATCTCATAAAAATGCTTAAAGTTTATTTATTTTTTGTATATATTTTTTGTAATTTAAATAGTATTTTTATTTATTATTGCTAAAATGGCGGAAGCCAGCAATAATAATGTTTTTGACATATCAGGAAGGAAAAACACACTAAACCGAAGTAATGACGATGATAAAAATATTAACATTTTTGACGAAACTTTAGTAGAAACGGCTTATTACAATGTTGACGATGTTAATCATGTTCTTAATTCTTTATCATCCCATTTCTCATTATTACATTTAAACATCAGAAGCATAAATAAAAACTTTGATAATTTAAAATTTATGTTAAATAATATAAGTAACAAGTTTAGTATTATCTGTCTGACTGAAACTTGGTGTCATCGAGACACGATTAATTCTAACTTTCAATTATCAGGATATAAATCCATTCATCAACCTAGAGTAAACGGCATTGGTGGGGGCGTATCATTTTCGTCCAAAACTCATTGACTTTTAAGTACATAGAAAACCTCAAAGTAAATGACGTTGATTGTGAGTCATTTACAATTGAAATAATTAATAAAACAAATAAAAATGCATTTATAACAGCATTATATAGACCACCTAATGGTAATTACAATCAATTTGAAAACCACTTAAACTACTTGCTACCAAAGCTCATAAAAAAACATGTGTATTTATTAGGTGATTTTAATTTGAATTTTTTGAATTATAAAACAGATAACCACGTCGTGCGTTTTACAAATACACTTTTGCAGTACAACCTTTTCCCTATGATTAACAAGCCAACACGCGTGACTAAAACAACTGCATCCATTATCGATAATATTATTACTAACAATTACACAAGCGTGGAATGGCAAAGTGGTATTATTAAAACAGATATAACTGACCATTTTCCAGTTTTTCTGAGTACATATTCTGCAAACCCTGAGAAACATACAAAAACAAAAACTGTATATGAAAGAAAAATAAATAATGAATCACTCGCCACGTTTCGAGACCTCTTACAAGAAGTAAACTGGGAACTATTGACTGATTGCAATGACGTAAATAACGGCTATGAACTTTTTATTCACGTGTTCACTAAGCAATACGAAAAGGCCTTTCCAAAATTTAAAAAAATTATTAAACCTAAAAGTTTGCTTAGTCCGTGGATGACGAAAGGACTCATTAAGTCGTCAAAAAAGAAACAAAAACTTTACCAAAAATTTCTTAAAAAAAAGAACTACAAAAACGAAATAAAATACAAAAAATATAAAAATTATTTTGAAAAATTAAAAAAGCAATCAAAAAAAAATTACTACTCTTCATTACTTAATAAAACATTTGGCAATGCAAGAAAAACTTGGAATGTAATTAAAGAAATAACAGGCGTGGGTAATGTAAAAAAAGACAATTTCCCAAAAAGATTACAAAGAGATGACAATTTAGGTGATGCTTCTGTAAATAAAGAAATTGCAGAAACATTTAACAACTTTTTTATAAATATAGGAAAAAAACTAGCCGATGCAATTCCGGAGGGAAAAAAATCATTTAAATCCTTTTTGAAAAAATCTGATTTCTTCATGGATGAGTCAGAGCTTTTGATTGAAGAACTTCGGCAAGCGATTAGTATGCTTAAATCAAATAAAAGTGCGGGTCTGGATGAAATTAAACCTGATGTTGTAAAAGCTGTCTCTGATATCATAGAGAAACCCCTTTTCATAATTTTTAATCTATCCCTAAAAAACGGCATTTTTCCCGACCAACTTAAATTAGCAAAAATAATTCCAATATACAAAAGCGGCGACGACTCAATAATATCTAACTATAGACCGATTTCCATACTTTCCTGTTTTTCCAAAATATTAGAGCGTATTATGTTCAACAGGCTGTACAATTATCTTGAAAAAAATAATATTCTTTATCATAAACAGTTTGGTTTTCGAAAAAACCATTCTACGGAACATGTCGTAATTGATCTTGCGAACCAAATTTTACAAGGTTTTGAAAACAATTGTTACACACTTGGAATTTTTCTAGATCTATCAAAGGCATTTGATACTGTAAACCACAAGATTCTTATCTACAAACTACGTAGTTACGGAGTAGTTCACTCTAATTTAAAGTGGCTTCAATGTTATTTAGAAAACCGTAAACAAGGTGTACCATATGATCTAACATGCTCCCCATTTGAATCAATAAGTTGCGGAGTTCCACAAGGATCAATACTTGGACCTTTATTGTTTTTAGTTTATATCAATGATATTTTTTTGTCTTCAAAAATACTTAATTATACTATTTTTGCTGATGACACTAATGTTTTCTTTTCTGACTCAAATTTAAAAAATATTTTTTATTATGTAAACGCTGAACTAATATATCTTAATGAGTGGTTTATAGCAAATAAACTATCATTAAATATTGAAAAAACTAAATATATTTTGTTTGCTAAACCATCTCAATCCGAGAACCTTCCACTTAAACTTCCAGAACTAACAATTAACAATATTAAAATAAAAAGAGTTTTTTCAATGAAAATACTAGGAATAAATTTCGATGAACATTTAAATTGGAAAAGCCAAATAAAGTTAGTCGAGAACAAAGTTTCAAAGACTGTGGGGATTATGTACAGGACAAAACATCTTTTGAATAAAATATGTTTAAAAAACTTATACTTTTCATTTATACATAGTCATATTAACTATTGTAATATTGCCTGGGCAAACAATCATTCATCTTTCCTAAAAAATATTTATACTAAACAAAAGCAAGCAAGTCGATTAGTTTTGGGCGCAGATAGGTACGAAAGTGCCAAGCCGTTACTCAAGGAAATTAATGCGCTAAACGTATACGAACTAAATATATACCATAACTTGTTATTTATGTTTAAACTTCAAAATGAACTAATTCCAAAATATTTTTATAAAGGTTTCTCTCTAATTAACCATAAATATGAAACAAGACACTCAATAAATAATTACTACATCCCATCAACATCACTCAAAAAATCTGACTTCTCAATTACATGTCGGGGGCCACGCTTGTGGAAGTCAGTTCTTGACGAAAATATGAAAAAAATAAAATCTATTGATATATTCAAAAGAACTATAAAAAAACACTTACTAAACTCAAACATTACATACATTCTTTCATTTTTTTAAAAATAATATTTTTTTTTTTTTTTTTTTTTTTTTTTTTTTTTTTAATATATATATATACATATATATCTTTCTTGTTTGATTTTCTCTTTGACTGTTTTTTTTTTAACTTTTTTTAATAAATACTAACAATTGAATTTAAATCTACATAACGTTTGGAATCTTTTTAATATATAAATATTTTTGAATATATACTTCGCTTTGTATTGAATATGTATACGTATATGTTCTGATTTGTAAAAAAAAATTCAAACTTTTTAATTTACGCATTGTATACATTTTTATTTTTTTATTTCGAGATTTTATTATTATTATTATTATTATTTTTTTTTTCTTTCTAATTTTTACTTTTTTTAATTTTTAATTTATTTTAAACTTTTTAATTTTTTTCAATCTTTTTACTTTATTTCAAACTCTTTAAATTTTTTTATTTTTATTTTAATTTTGTTTGAATGTTTGTTTATTTTTTCAAAATTTTTAATTTAACTCTTTTTTATATTATTGGAATTTTAGAAATTTTATATTTCTCTATTTCACAAAAGGGCTTGATGATAAGACTTTATGTCTTCTACTTGCCCCTGTCAGCTTGTAATTATATATATATTTATTCGAATTTAAAGATAACATTGTAAAATGTGTAAAACGACAAAAAATAAACTAAATTAAAAAAAAAAAAAAAAAAAAAAATATTTGTCGTTTCCTCAAAACTAAGTTTTGCCTCGAATACAAATCTTTAAAATATGATTAACTTTAAACTCGTTTAAGCTTTGATCTAACTTTTTTTTGCGATTTTTTACATAATTAAAAAGGATTCGGTTGATTGAAGGATATTTAAAACAAAATAAGGGAAGTACTTTTTTATGAGAAAAAATGCTGGACGAATGTTCAGCAATTTTTTCTGTTTGTTTTAAATTTTGTAACCTTTTATATATTATAAATAATAAAAAATGCTTCACTTATCTGGATTAATATACCTCATTAGTATATAAACCAATTTTCAGCTTGATATGATAAATATTTTGATCACAAAAATTGCTAGTTATTTCACTCTTATTTTAAATAACTGGGTAATCGAGTCATTATTTTTAAGTTGATTCTTTAAAATAGTTTAAAGAACAAGATTTTTAATGAAAAATATAAATCAAAAATCTTTTTTTATCAAAAGTTTGCCTTTGCTGTGAAGGACCACCTTAAGCTTAAAAAAAAATTTAAAATTTATTTAAAATCCATACTTCAAAACAACAATTTTTACCATGTAAAATAAAAGCTGTTTATTTACAGTTTTAACAATTGAATAATGTTATTTAGAATTGAGTATTATTATTTGGAAAAAGTGCCTTAAAAGTGTAATTGTGTCAAAGAAGGTGTTAGAGCTAAGTGTATTTTTATCCAAAAATAAATTCAATAATGGATTTATTAGAATGGAATTTTTTTTTGGGCACGCTATATAATTTTGACCTACAAGACCCAGTTTAAACAGGGTTAAGTTGTACTAGAAATAAGATTATTTATTTAATGATCTTATCATCTTGAGACGAACGTTTTTTGTTTTTATAAAAGTTGATGCGCTTTTCTTTATACATTAAACATTAAAACGGCGCTATCTGGGAATTTTTTTTTTTTATTTTTTATTTTAATTCACCTCCTCAAGGCCGAGAAGGCCACTACAGACAAGGAGGCTACTTATTTGTGGTTATAACCCTCTCTCAACTCTATAACTCCGAAACACGAACCTTGACGAGCAAGGCCGCTGCGCGGAGAAACGAGTTAAGCGCGGTACTACCAGGGACGTGGTGGGGATCGAACTCGGAACCACTCATTTATGAAGCGAGCGCTCTACCACTACACCACTACCGCATGAAATTCAAATTCAAACAGATTACAAAATATTTATGCACTTTCAACGGCCATCTCACCAAGTCTAAAAAATTAAAAGAATATCCATAGTTTTTATAGATAGGGAAAGACAAAGCAAGATATCAAACGTTTTAAAAATTTTGGGTTATTGCAAATTATAGACCAATGAAGCAGTAAAATTTTGTCAGTATCCTTGTTTTATCATAATGATTCATTGCTTCCATAAGTTTTAAGTTTGCAATTAAAATAATTGGCTATTAGTCATCGGAGCACGATAATAGAGCAAAATAAATTTGCGTAAAAAAAAACAACTACAAAATTACACCCATAAAATACCACACATTGGCATTTACCCTAAAACAATTTTATCTTTTAAGCGTGAAAAATAAAAAACTTACGAGTGTATAAATACTTGAACAATATTTAAAAAAAAAAAAAAACTTGGATTTTAAAACACAAGCTATATATACAGATTTGTTTCCACTCAATTTTAAATTTTAGACCCATTTCGTCATACTCTTGTTTTTTTTCAAAACTATTTGTTGTTTAACTGACAGATTTTTAACGGTACCATACCTAATGATACGAAGCATATTACGAGAATCTTTTGTATGCTTCCAAGTAAATTTAATTTAGTCTTCCTTTTAAAATTCCTGGACCTAATAATAGAGCAATTTTTTAAAATGTATATATATATATATATATATATATATATATATATATATATATATATATATATATATATATATTTATATATATATATATATATATATATATATATATATATGCATGTATATATAAATATCTCCTTTAAAAAACATAATTTTAAATGCAAATAACATTCAACTTAAAGCTGACAATCCTTCAATTGTAGATTGCATGAGAAATTTCAATTTAATATTTTGATAAGTTTTAATAGTTCGTTACACTTAATTGAATTTTTTATATTGTAAAAAAAATTCAATTAAAAAAATCAACCAACTTTGTTTTAAATCAGTAATCTAACTAATATATAACAAACTTTTTTAAACTAGTATATACAATTAAATGCATGCAAATGCAATTTAATAAACTTTTTCAATAGTAACATATTTACAATATTTATAAACTCAAAACACATTTTTTTTTTGATTAAATCTTCAGGGTTTTGTCACAACCTTTTAGGTCTAAATTTAGTCTAATATTGGAATCTAGAGTCTGTTGTTGTAAGTTGATGAAGCTTTTTAAATTTTTCATATATGACTTTATTGCTGGAACAAACACTAAATGTGAAGATATATTTAATACAATACATACATAAGTTTAGTAAAATACAATACATACATAAGTTTAGTAAAATGCTATAAAAGTTTAGTAAACTTGTATAAGTATATACAAGTTTATGCATTTTATATATATATATATATATATATATATATATATATATATATATATATATATATATATATATATATATATATATATATATATATACCAGGGATGCAGAGTCCTAAAAGGGCTCCTATGAAACAAAAAGTCCTTCAAAAGGACTCTTGCTTTTAAGCGTGAAGTCCTGGAGTCTATGCCACCTTTATACCTTGGACTTCGGGTTCAAAAATTATTGTTCTACTAATGTATAAGTCTTGATTTTTTTCCCCATTAGTAGCCCTTAGGCCTTTTTATATCTTTAAAGCTACTGGATACCAAAAACTAGAAAGAAGTAATCTTTTTGTGTCCTTTAACTCCGCTGTCCTTTTTAGGGATTCCGCATCCATGATATATAGATAAATTTTTCATATAATATATGAAAAATTTATATATATAAATTATGAATTTATACTTAAATATTATGAATATTAATTAAATACAAATTATGACTATTATATACATAAAAATATATATGCAATAAGAGCAAAACTAACAATAAAACCTCATGATATCTTTGTACAAATATACAGGATCAAATTGATATAGTTTTTAAAACCACGAAAATTAGTTTGTGTTGTAATTGTTGAAGATGATTGATTTTTAAACTTTAAATGTTGTTTTGATAACAAATCTTCAATGTCTGAATCAAAGCATTAATAAATTACATGCCATTTTTAGAAAAATTTAAATAAGCACTTTTAAATTTTTCTGAGAAATGACACATTTTAATTGTATTCAAATGCGCATTTTTACACATGATGTAATATTGAGTGAGATATTATTGAAAGGTATGCTGTTGTAAGGCTTCAGATGTTGACATCAATAGAGTGAGGTATTTTAAAAGTATGATCCAGAAGCTTAAAAACATCTAAAAACAAATAGATTTATAAGTAACTTTAAAAATTTGAACTCTATAACAATCACAGAACAATAAAAAGTACTTTAAAGAGCACAATTTAGTTTTTTTATTTTCCCCAGGATAAAAAACTCAATTATCTCTTTATTTCAAGTTTTTTTTAACCTTTGCATAGTACATTTTGTTTGATTGTGCGAATTTTCACTACAATAAAATTATAGTTGCTGTAAGTATTGTAATTTTAACTAACTTTTAGGACAAGTCTAAAAACTAATTAATAATTTAAAAGCTAGGTAAAATAATCGGGTTTTCCATGAATTTCTAAAATTAAAGAATAGAAAAAGCAAAAATTAAAGTATAGTGAATATTATAATATATAAGCAAAAATTAAAGTATAGTGAATATAAAAAACTAGTGAATTTCTTTGATTTTAAAGTGGAATTGAATAGGGATTGTCCATAAATTATGCAACGCTAAATTTCACTAATAAACAAAACATAGGAGATCAAAAGTTTTTTTCTAAAAGTTTTGTCATGTAAAAGAATTAAATATTATCTACTTCTTTTTTTAAAATAAACTTTGCATTGCAAAATATATAGACAATTCCTAATTGAATGTTTAAACATTTGTGAAAGCAACTTTGAAAAAGATATGAAATATGTTACAAGAATAACGACATTTATCTTCTTCATCAAGTTTTAAAAGTTACTCTTGAAATTATATTATAAAGAAAAAAATAAAGTTGCTTTAACATTCGAAACTTAACTGAACTGCACATTTGTTTGAAATTAATTCAGCGGTCAGGAAGATGTTTGAGAAACTTTAATAATTTTTAAACTAACTTTAATAGATAGTTTTGATTAAACTTGCCAAATAAAATAGTAACATTTAAACTAAACTATTATAAATATGGTAAAAATATTGAATGTCTTTTAATTTTAAAATAAGCATCATTACCTTTTAAAGAAACTAATGTATGAGTATGATTAAAAGTTTTGGCCAGATATATTACTTAAATACACATAATAATACAAGAGAATACACATAAAAAATACACATAATAATACAAGAGAAAAATTTAATTTTTTTAAACAAAATCTTTATATTTAAGAAGTAGGCAACATAGCTGTTGTAAATATAAATTAAAATCTTTGAAATTATATGATTACTGTTTAAAAATATACCATCTATAATTTTAACACTATATTCGTAAATAAAAAAAAGAAAATTACTAAATTCTTATTTAAAAATTACTTGCAAATAACAAGTTCCGCATCTAAACTTTGTCAATAGAGTTCTTTAAAATAGCTATCTCTAGATTAAATTTTGTCTTGAGTAAAAAGGACAAAATCTAATCTAAAAATAATCTTTATGAATAAAATATTTTAATATTGTAAAAAAATACTAAACAATTATATACTTAAGAAATAAATAATAGTATATTATTAATAACATTATTATAAGCTGGTTAAATTTGTAATGTTTAAGGTGAAATTTTAAGTAGAAGTTTACTTCCATAACTTAGATTCTAGCTATCTAGTATCAGAGTGGCTTAAATGAACTTTTACTCAATTGTTGAGTAGAAATCAATATAAATTACTTTGATTCAAGCCAGCTTATACCTTTTAGGTATATCACAAATTGATTTGTAAAGTTGGATAAACTTCAAAATTGATAGTACTCAAAAATATCTGTACACTTTTTAGTTAATAGCTTTTTTCGTATAAAATTTGTAAATAAAAATTAAATAAAAAAATTTCAAAACTTTAAACACATGTATAATTATATAAGCTACTGATATATATTAGATTTCCATAAATTTACTTCTCAAAAACACAATTTTGTTTTAATATCAATTTTTTACTTCACTCACCAAACAAATTTTTGTCTGCCCAATTAACTTTGAACGAAAATTATTTTGAGCCGGCTGACGACGTAACAACTTAATAAAAAAAACAAAATTATTCAAGTTACAAAACCGAACACGGAGTTGCAATAGCGAACAAAAAAGTTGCAATAACGAACAAGAGATGCTTTACCGAACAAGCGCGTTGCGATACAGAACATTTTAGTTGCATTACCGCACATCCACATGATCATCATCATCATCATCATCATCATCATCATCATCATCATCATCATCATCATCATCATCATCATCATCATCATCATCATCATCATCATCATCATCATCATCACTCATCATCATCATCATCATCATCATCATCATCATCATCATCATCATCATCATCATCATCATCATCATCATCATCATCATCATCTGCTTGTAACTTTTGATTTATTTATTTTTATTATATAATTATTATTATATTATTAAATCTGTAAAAAATAAAAAGTAGTGTAAAGTTAAATTTCTAAAAAACTTTTTATTTAAGATTAATTAAAGTTCGAACTACTCTTATTACCTTTATTGACATTAGCTCTGCTAGCAACATCTAGTGGATTTGAAGAATCTAAATGATAGTCATGCAAAAACTTTACTTTTTATAATGCTTATCCTACACAACTAACACAACAAAAAGATAAAAATAATGTTTACTAGTAACACATTATAAAACCAGTTTTTACGGATGTTCATGTTATTGTCATTTTGTACTACTATATTGTTTTTATCAAGTTAACAATAAAAATTTTTGTTAGGGTTATTTTTTTACTTTGGTTTGTTTTTATCGTATGCCTTTTGTTGTAAGAATTTTGTACTATCAACTATTTTAAATTTATTATTTATTATTGAATATTTAACTATTTTAAAAACAATGTCTTGAATCGTAACAATCACAAATAATAAAATGTTATAACACTGCATCTATGCCATTTTGAAAAAAAAAACTTGAACTATTTAAAAAATAGTTTGGGGTAATTGTGCTTTCATAAATGAAACCCCTTCTCTCCAGCCTGTTACCAAGATGTTAGATATTTCTTGGTATCACAATAATGCCCATTTTACAGGTTGCATAATAATTGTTTATTGACTACACATTGTCCATAGAGTTGAAACATTTGGAGCTTTTTTTCATAAAATCATTTTATAATAAAAGTTATCATAGTTTTTATGATTTGTTTTTTAAAATAAATTTTTAAAGACAAAAATATTAAATCTATCATATCAATAGAAAAACAAATTGATTGATAATAACATAACAATTTTTATAAATTTTAAAATCAAAGGTTTCAAGCTAAAAGCTCAAATCAAAGCTGCACAAGCAAACCTGTATCAGCAATATACTTATAAGCTAATTCTTTTTAATTTAATCAAATAGAACAAATTAAATAGAATTAGCAAATTCTTTTCAGAATTAGTTAGAATTAATTATAAATCAGCACAAGAAACGTTTCGTTTCTAAACAATAACCCCTTATTTTATAATTTTCGTAAACATATTTTTCTTTCTATTTTTAGTTTCGTTTTTTGTATATATTATATATTATTATATATGTGAATAATGTTACTGTAAATATGTATGAACTTTTCCTTGATGAACTTTTCCTTTAATTCTCAAGTTTTGACAATTAAAATTGAAGTTTAATTCTCAGTTTATTTTGCATTGCATATAACATATTTGATTTTTTTTTCTATAACAAAAAGTTTTTTCTAGAATTTAACTAATGTTATTTTTATTAAAAAACAAGTAGGTAGAGTAAAAGCAATGCAGACACTCTTCACAAAAAGCTTTAAAATTCTCATTAACTAAAAATAACTTTTTTAATATTGAGAATTTTTAGGATTTTTTTTCTGAAATATAGTTGTTTATTAGAGCAATTGAACAGTGTAAAAAAAGATTTAAAAATTTCAAGTTTCTATTAAAATAAAATTTTATTTTTTAAAAAAATTTCAGCATATTGGAAAATTGTCCTCAAAGGCGGACAGTTTAAAATATATGAAAAAAAAAGATAAATTGATAAATTCAATATCTTTATTTTTAATGTTAAAATATACACGAGATAATAATACAAACAGAAAAAACTAAAAACAATCAATAAGCATAAGCAAGCTTAAGCTTGAAATAATAAAGAAAAAATTATAAACTAGGCTTTGCAACTTTTTGTGCAAACAGAAGCAGAGCTCACAGAGCCACAAACTGCAACATGATTTTTAACAAGATTTTTATAAAACTTGCATCTCAAGCTTTTCATTTTTAAGAAGAGCCCAGTGTTTTCAAAACTCCTTTAATCTAATCACTATAGAGTTAATTTGTAAACAACTAAATTTCTTTGATTTGTAAACAACAAAAAGCAATAGAAGGAATCAGTCAGCAAAATTAGGAACAGTGTAGTTTACTTTTTTGTTATTTCCAGTTAATACGAGTGGATTCTTTGACTTTGTCACCATTGAAACTAGTTTCGTCAAAATTCCAATAATTCATGGCTTTACCAAACCAAAATGTTTTTTTTGGCCAAACCAAAATGTTTGTTGTTGTAACGCGACTACCAACTACTGAAGTCTTATTTTATTTTCAGTTGGAAAATTTTATTTTGGTATGAGGTAAAATTGAGCTTAAGCTTAACTCAGCATTTTTAATATTATCTAATGCTTTTAGTATGTGTATATATATATACATATACATATACATATATATATATATATATATATATATATATATATATATATATATATATATATATATATATATATATATATACATATATATATATATATATATATATATATATATATATATATATATATATATATATATATATATATATATATATATATATATATATATATATATATATATATATATGTATATATATATATATATATATATATATATACTTATATACATATATATATATATATATATATATATATATATATATATATATATATATATATATATATATATATATATATATATATATATATATATATATATATATATATATATATATATATATATATAATGCTTTTTTCAATGTCTCCTCAGTATAAGGCTTCTCTTTTAGAGATTTAGAAATTTAAAAAATAAAGATTTCTGAAATTGAAATTGAAAATTGTACTTTTGCACTTCAAGAGTGTAAGTGTATATGTACAAAATTATCATGAAAGTATGAAAACTTATTTAATCCAAATGAAAAAAATTCAATCAGCTTAAAAAAATAATAAAATAAATTAAATAAATTTAAAAAAGTAGAAAAATAACAAACATATTAAGCTATTAACTTTTGATTGATTTTAGGAAGTATAGTGCCCTGTTTAAGATAAAAACTAAAAAAAAAAAATTTTTTCTGCTAAAACTTTTTAATGGATTAATAGTTTAATTTGAAGTAATTTTTTGAAAATCTAAAACTATTTTTGGAATTAGCAGAAAAGCTCCAACAAAATTGTCTTTAAATTGATCTTTCATGCTAAGAACCTAACTTTTAAAAAAGCCTTAATTTGATTTTAAGAGTCATAATTTGTTTGAACTTAAATTTCTTATTAAACCAATTATTTTAACAATTTTTTTTTATATTTTATATTTTTTACACACTGAAAGTTAAATTTTTTTTTTAAATTTGCAAAAATCTAAACTTTTAGTGAAGATATTTAGTTTTGCCAAAACTATAGATAAAAAGTCACTGTTAACAAAAACCAATTAAGTCTCTAAATAGATGAACTAGAAATTTTAATATAAGAATAAAATTTCTTAAAAAGAAAATAATTTTTTTTCAAGTTTTATTTAATTTAGACTGTATTGTATTTTTGCCCATTGCTTATGTTGGAGTGTATTTCTGTGCAATGTTTATATTGTCATAAATTTCTATTTATACTGTCATGTATAAAGATTTACACTTTTGTGCATTGCATATATTGCATGTATATCTGAGTATTTGAAAACCTTTGGGGTATTTTTGTGTATTGCTTTGTACTGGCATATATTTATGTGTATTGTATAGTGCTGTTGGCAACACTTACTTTACCATATACTTTTTTTTTTGTTGGTTTACTTTTATACTTTTTTTGGTTTACTTTTTACTTTTTACTTTTTTTATTACTTTTTATATCATATTTTTATTATTACTTTTATCTTTTTTACTTGTTTATTTTATTTTTTTACTCTAATGACTAGTTTATAACTATACAAAAGTCACTGTCCATTAACTTTGTAAAGAATTTATTGGCTGTTTTCAGCTAACCCTTCCTCTTGTCAAACTTCCAGAGCCCTCTTATAAAGTTACATCAACATTCAATAGTCACTTCTCCTTTTTTACCTTGTAGTAAAAGTGTTGCTTATATTATAATTGACATAACCCATACAAAACACTTCCGGAAGCTAAATAGAATTTTAATAAGTTGATAAGATACTGTATGTTATTCATTACCATAATTATGTTTTATTTATAAAAACAAAAACACGTTTTTGTTTAAATAAAACATTGAAATGGAATCATAGAGTGTATATAAATATAACATAAAAAATGAAAATCTTAAAAAAAACTAAACTTTAGTACTACTAAAATATTATAATTAGGAGTCATTATATTTAGTTGTAATTATATTTAATCATAATGATACTTAACTGTAATTTTATTTATAAGTAATTATATTTTGTAGTAGTTATATTTAGTACTAATTATATTTATTCGAAATTATATTAGTATTAATTATATTTAGTAGTAATTATATTTAATTGTAATTATATATAGTAGCAGTTCTATTTAGTTGTAGTTTATTTGATAGTAACTATATTTAGTACTAATTATATTTATAATTTGTGCATGGAGCTAAAGAGCTGCTCTTGAAATAAAAAAACCGCATGATGTTTGTGTAATGCTTGCGTGAAAAAAACCGCACGATGCTTGAAATAAAAAACCCGCATGATGCAAAGATTGGCGACCCCTGTTATTAACATTTAAATAATAAAATAAAGATTTTTCTCACATACTTAACTACCTTTGTAACTCATTTTCAAGACTAATCACTTAACTTTACCCCTTGATTTGTGTCTTATTTATGACCCTGGATATCACTTGGTTTTTTTATTTTTCTTTAGGTGGTATAGCCCATGAAATACTTCATTTATGATCTATTCACTCTACTATCACTCTCTTTTCTACTACTTTAGCTGAATGAGATCTATTTTGTTAATTTATGAAAAGATGGTCAGAAAATGTCTTCTATCAAGCAAAAGTTGAATCATTTTTATCTATATCTTAAATTAGACATGCATAAAAAAATTTATTGTTGTTTGTAAATATTTTATAGATATTGCATATATTTCTGTTTATTGTTTATATTGCCATGTATATATATATTTCTGTCTGTTGTTTATATTGTTATGTATTTTTTTTTCTTTCGTGGTGCCACTCAAATTTGAAAATGAAATTTTATTACTTTTTGATTGACACGATTTTTCATTGATATTTTCTAAAGTTCTACAATAAACCACTAGAGTAAAATATTCAGTATTTGCCATGCAATTAGCTATTGCCACTTGGTCACTAAAAAACATGCAGGCCAAAAAGTAATA